CACCTTGTCTATAATAACCTTTAAAACCCACTTCCATTGATGTTTCCTTTGCACCCACTGTTACATTTACTGACCCCACATGAAAAACGCCTTTTTTAAACATTACTAAAAATGATTCCCCAGTAATTTAATAGGGAAACTTTTCCCCACTTGGAATTGGCTGTGTTTAATTGGAAGGCAAGTGCTCCAAACCTGGAGTCAGCATTTCAGGTACTGAAGTCAAGAGATTTACGAGCTGTTGGCCACCGGTCCAGGGACTTTCATCACAGATCCAGCCTGTGCAGAGCACAAACACATTGCAGGGAATTGCTTATTTCTAATGACATAAATAAAAATCCATGAACAGCTCCAAGACAGATTAGTCTCCAAAGCCTGCAGCCTGCTTAGAAGCAGAGGTAATTTGTCCAAGGAGTACAGGGATTATTTATTATTTTTTGGTAAGAAAAATGTAAGCAACCAGCCCTCCTTTGCACTGCAAAGCTGAAAGAATGCAAAAATAAGACATTCGGAGTCTTTCTTAGTGAGCTGTACAGAAATTAAAGGTATCCTCTAAACAGTGAAAGATAATAATAAATGACTGTATGAAATATGCAATTGAATTTCAGGTAGAAATGGTGTTAAAGGATACTTCTTTTAATCCTTAATCTTTGGAAAAAGCAGGTAACTGCAGGATTATATGGCAGAAATAAATAAAAGCTCTCAAAGAGACGTGAAACAGGGTGTCCTTTTAGAATAAAATACTGCCTGTGTTTAGGTTATTTGGCATTTTTATCTCCCAAAGCATTAGAATGCTGGGAACAGGAGCTCGGAGCCTGCAGATGTAACACTGCTCCGTGCCTGGAGTGATCCAGAGCAGGACAAACAGAAGGGAAAATCAGGAGGGCAAGAGCTTCTCATTCCCAGCACAGAGCCAGGGAAGGGAGGGAATTCCAAACCAGCCCCTCAGACTCCTGTGTCTGTGCCCAGCGCTCCCTTAGGAGAAGTCCCGTCTTCATGGTGATGGAAAAGCAATGGAAAATCCAACATAAATGTGGCTTAATTGCTCTGATTGAAGGTCCCTTCCAAGCCAAAGCGTTCCATGGTTCCCCTCGGAGCCAGGATGGTTCCTGTGGGTGCCAGGCTGGGTCACTGCTGTGCCCATTCCATGGGCATTTCCCTGCAGAGAGTCTGCTCCTTAAATCCTCTCCCTGACAGCCCAACTGGTGAACCCCACCAGTCTCTGGTGAACCCCAGTTCTGCTTTCCTGGGCAACAACCCAGAACCATTTGTGTTAATCCCAAGTTCCGTCATTGAAACCAAAGAATTGCCTCATTTTTTTTCTTTTTCCCCTCCTATAGAAGAATCGTTTCCCTTGTTTTCATTAAGAACTGAACTCAGCCTTCCCTGCCACGGTGAAATTGCTGAGTAGGAGTTACCATGAGTTAGGGATGTGTTCAAGACTTGTCTACTCTGAAGCACTTGGAAGACCTGGACAGGCAAATGCAGCCGACCTGGAGATGGGATGTGGCACTTACCTGCCTGTGAAATGTTGGGAGGGAGTTCCTGAGCGTGATTCCATGAGGCACAAACGACAGGAACAGCTAAATAAAGCTGTCAGCTGCCATGAAAGCCCAAGTTCTGTGCTCTGATGGCCACAGGGAGCTGACAAGAGACCTGGCTGGCTGGGTGGGTGGGTGGGTTTAAGTCACCTCCCAGCACATCAACTCCCAAGAACACTTTTCCTCCCATAGTTTTATGTGTGTTTATATAAAATTATAAGCTTTGTGCTGAACATAAAGGGACAACAAGTTACACAGAACTCTTAAAAGCCCTCGTGCACATGCAATGAGTCGGGGAGGGGTTTTTATTCTTCTTTAAAATTCCTGGCACTGAGCTTTTAGTGCTTTTAGTGTTACACACTGTTGATGCAGAGGCCCATGAGCTGGTGCAGCAAGTGCAGCAGCTCCAGACCATGATGAGCGTGTTGGATGCACTGATGGATTTGGGGTTTGCACGTGCACAGCTGGGCAGGGTGTGACTGGTTATGGATGTACCAGAGGTTGCTTGCTGGATTTGGCTGGAGGGTGTGTTTGAGCTGCTGTAGCTGGTTACAGCAGTGGTGTCAGAGCAGCTAAAAATACCTCAGGCCAGTTCAGTTATCAGCTCTGTGCTCAGATTTCCCTGGTGTGGCTGGAGGAACCGAGTGTGCTGGAGCGACTGTAAAATGTGGCTGCGGCACCGCCTGGATGGCACACGTGGGAGGGGAGAAAAAACAACTTATGCCCTTTCCTTGAACTTAGGAAGAGAGTATTAGGTCTTACTGTCAGCCCTGAAAAGCAACTTACAGCTTCTTTCCATAATACCCATTCAAGGCACCTCGGAGCTGTGCTGTCTCTTCTTTGACACTCAGTTAAACAACTGCACGTTTTTTAAGACCTAAGGAGGGAATAATCCAGTACAGTGGAGCTTTGCTTATGTTCAAAGTGATCTGTACTTTGAAATCCAGGTTATAATAAAATAATTGATAGTTCTACATGAAATGTGGAGCTCTCAGAGCTCAAGCTGTTGATACCCTGAGCCATGAGCAGCATCTCACAGGTAATGAGCATGGAGTGATGGGACAAGGGGGAACGGCCTTAAGCTGAAGGAGGACAGGTTTAGATGGGATATTGGGAAGGAATTCTTGGCTGGGAGGGTGGGGAGGCCCTGGCACAGGTTGCCCAGAAAAGCTGTGGCTGCCCCTGGATCCCTGGAAGTGTCCAAGGCCAGGTTGGACGGGGCTTGGAGCAACCTGGGCTGGTGGAAGGTGTCCCTGCCATGGCAGGGGGGTGGGAATGGATGGGCTTTCCAACCCAGACCTTTCCACGATTCTCTGAATTGCAATCACAGAATGGTTTGGGTTGAAGGGACCTCAGAGATGTTGTGGTTCCACCCCCGTGCCATTAGGGCCCTTATCAAAGCAGACAGTTACTATCCTCTGTATCTTCCATATTCCAATGCAGTGACCTGGATAAGTCTGTAATTTTCTTTATTTTGCAGGTGAAAGCCAGTTTTGTGCCTGGTGGGGATTTCTTAGGGGTAGTAAAAAAAGAAAAAGAGGGGTTTAAGGACAAGTTTAAACTCAACCTCCAAGGAGTGAGTTTGGTTTGGGAGTAGTTCCCAACGCTGAGCTGAAGGAAACTGGCTGTGCCCAGTGCCCTGCAGCTGCCCCAGCATCACCTGGGCACTCCCAAATCCTCCCAGGTGGGCAGTGCAGAGGTAGATCCAGCTGTTCCTTTCTGCCCAGATGTGTAACCAGCACTGTTTGAGTATTATTAATACCCCGGTCCTGAAGGCAGAACGGGGAATGCACAATAAACTTGTAATGATTCAGAACCTCCATATCCTGGGCACAGCTATTCAGGGTAAAGTCTAAAAGTCTTCCTTTTGCAAGGAAGGAAAAATAACCTTGGAAACAAAAGTCTCTCTAATTTTCATTTTACGTAAGTGCCTCTGTTCTGGCTTGGGCTCCCAGAGACAGTAAATGCCCCCAGACTGACTGTGGGTGGTCAGCAGTTCAGCAAATTGGGCCATCCATCTAAATTTGTCTCTCTTAAATCTATGGGATTCACGTCAGCGTTGGTTCCAGCAGTACAGTGGGGATTCAATAACTTAAAGAAAGGCTCCTGTGATCCTACTGTATCATCCATTTTCATAACAGTGAAGCCACCGTGGAAGGACTGTTCCAGATGCTCGGCTCCCAGAGCTGGTGCTGGAGGAACACAGCCCGTGGTTGCACGGGAGATGCTCTGGGGTTTTTAATTTGCAGCAGTGAGACACCAGAAAATTGCTGTAAACTTCCGTGAGCTGTACACTGTGGGAGTAAATGGGAATTTCTGGAAGCAACTGGCTTAAATTTCCTGAGGTTTTGTACATGTCCCACGTTCTGTGATCTGTGGGTTTCAGTTACAGTTATCAAAAAGCAATATTTTATGTAAGGTAGCATCCTTTTACTGGAGCCGCAGCCCAAACCAGGACAGAGCTGGGAAATGGAGACGGGCTCTTTTCCAGATTGTACATTATCAGATGAATAATTAACTGTAGACTAATTGCAAATCCTAATTAGTCTCCTGCAACTGCACTAAGCACAGTATTGCTTCAGTGTAACGTGGCAAGAACTTGACCTTCAGGTTTAACCCTGCTGCTGGTGTGGTGTGAACTTGACTTTCAGAACCCAACTTATGTGTGATAATGCAAGTTAAAAACCTTCACAGATTTTTGTTATAAAATTAAATGGATGCAGAAGTGCCAATATCCATGCCTGGCCTTTTCCTGGTGTGCATTGCTGGCTGGGAGCTTTTCTGTGCCACTTTTCCTTCAGGTGGTGGGAAAAAATCAGGAAAAATTATCTGGAATGTTGTGTTTGGTCCGTTTTATAGACTTGATGGGAATTGGCAGGTGGACTTTGAGTCATGCAGAAGGTGGGTTGGTGTCTGGAGAGGCTTGATTTCTATATAACCATGAGCAAGTTTGGGGACAGCAGGTGACAGCAGAAGGTGCACATGGATTTACTGTCCAGATCTTTCCTCTTGACCACTCAGAAGCACAGGTTAGCTGCTCTGCAGCTCATGGAATCCTTTCCCGACAGCACCTGTAGCCTTGGCTTCTCTGTGAGTAACTTGTAGGCAGTTTCTGTGTGAGGGAGGAGAGCAAACGCTCTCCTTTCTCCAGACATTCCCGTTCTCCCGTGGCTGTGCTGTGGGACAGCAGGATGCCTGGGTTTGCTTCCATGGGAGACAGTAATAAACAAAGAAGGGAGGAACTACAGCTAACCACTGGAAAAAACACATATTGACAATGCACAACCTGAACTGAATGACCAGCACAGAATGGTAAAACAGGGCTGAACAACATGAATAACCTGAAAACCCGGATCCCGCGGGCGCAGCGGGAAGAGGCGGCAGCGTCGCGTTGGCAAAACCCCCGAGCAGCAGCCAAGGTAAACAATTCCTGTCTGAATCTGGTTTTTCCTTCCCATTTAGGTGACACTGAGCAGGAGCTGGGACCCCCTCCATCCGTAGATGAGGCAGCAAACACACTCATGACTCGCCTGGGCTTCCTCCTCGGAGAGAAAGTCACGGAGGTTCAGCCAGGGCCCCAGTACAGCATGGAGGTGCAGGATGAGAACCAGGTATGACCCCCCCGAGCCCTGCTGGCGTGGATTGGGATCTGTCTGGAGCAGGGGAGAGGGTGGGTGTTGTCTGACTCCACGGCAGCCAAGTGTCTCCCAGTGGTGCTGAGGGAAAGGCTGCGTCCCCTCGTCCCGCGGTGACTCAGGGATCAGCTGCTGCTGAGTGAAAAAGCTGCTGTTGTTTTCCTGTTACTGCAAATATAGGAGTGGGCAGCGTTTCTGATCAGATTACAGTGACCAAAATAAGATGTTCTTGCCCCTGTCTTCGCTGTTTCAGAAGTGCTTTAACGTAAAGGCTCCCGAGCCCTGCGCGAGGCGGAGGGATGTGGTAATAGCCTGATTTTACAGATAGTCACAGTTCTTGCTCGTGTTTGCCCAACAAGATGATTTCATGCTTGAAAACAGATAGAGAAGGCAAATCATAAAATCTTTATTGTGATGGAGCTTGTTACATCCCCCCTGGCTGGCTGGAAAGCAAAAATCCTCTGGGCTGTGATATAGATTTTGTGGCAACTGCCTGAACCTGAATTTCTCCCTCCTTCTCCTCAAGCCTGGATGATTTACAGTGTTGGTGAGATGAGAATGAAACCAGGAGACATTTCCATCCCCATTTTTTTTTAAGTGACAGGTGGATAGTCCAATATGTAGCGGAAGAGGACGAAACTCAGCAACCACTTGTTGCTCTTTTTAACAGTCATCATGTGGCTCTGCACAGGTCACTGAGATATTTAACAGAGGTGTAACTCAGAGGACTTGAATTCCTTAAAAAAAGAATTGGTGAAAAGTAGCAGCCAGAAAGAGCCTGTCCTCAGCACAGGAAGGACATGGAGCTGTTGAAACAAGTGCAGAGGAGGCCACTGAGGTCCCGGAGGGCTGGAGCCCCTCTGGAGAGCTGGGGGGGTTCACCTGGAGAAGAGAAAGCTCCACGGAGTCCTGAGAGCCCCTTCCAGTGCCTGAAGGGGCTCCAGGAGAGCTGGAGAGGGACTTGGGACAAGGGCCTGGAGGGACAGGACACAGGGAATGGCTTCCCACTGCCAGAGGGCAGGGATAGATGGGATATTGGGAAGGAATTCTTGGCTGGGAGGGTGGGGAGGCCCTGGCACAGGTTGCCCAGAGAAACTGTGGCTGCCCCATCCCTGGAAGTGTCCAAGGCCAGGTTGGGTTGACTGACACAAAAGGTTTTTGATCTCCCGTGCTAAAATTTGCTTGAGAGCCAAGAAATGTAGTTTTGTCAAGTTTTTGTCTTTAACACACACATTTTAACACTTTCATTCAATTTTTTAATGCAAGTTGTGATGGATTTGAAATGGACTTTACTATACATTGGACTAGAAAATGTCCTTTTAACAGGCACCTATTTGAACTGAATACTTCAAAGCCAAGCAGAGCTTTCTACTATAAATGGTTCCTTTTGTTGTTGCCTTTTGACAAAAATTAAATTCCCATCTTTTCTCTAAAGCCAAAGATGTCTTTGGAGAATAAATAAAAGAAAAAATCTAAAGAGAAACAGCAGAGAGTTGTCCTCTAAAATAGATTGGTATCTTGGGCTGTGTGCTAATTTTTGCATGAAAAAGTTTTCCAGGGCCTTTGAATGCTATTCATGTGCTGGAGAAGATAAAGAGAGGCTGGTTCCTCAATTACCAAGTTAATTTTTCCCTTTCTTTGTGAACGTCTCCTGCTGTCAGCACTTGCCCAGAATCGTGGAATACTCAAAGTTGGAAGTGACCTCTGGAGTCATCCCATCCCATGGGCAGGCAGGGGTGGGTGCAGGGAGGGACCCTGGTGCTCAGGGCAGGGTTTGAAGATCTCCAGGGGTGGAGAATCCATGGGCTCTCTGAGCAGCCAGTCCCAGGGTCAGTCACTTCAACTGGGAAGAACTTTTCTAATAGAAAATGTCCTCGGTCGAACCCGTGACTGTCGCTCCTTGTCCTTTCCCTTTTCCCTTCTGAGAGGAGCGTGGCTGTGTGTTCTCTCCAAACCCCTGCAGGCAGTGGAAGGCTGCAGCTATCCCTAAATCCAGTGTAGTTGTCCCTTCTCCAGGCTGAATGAACCTTCTCCATCAGCCTCTCCTCCTCCTCCTCCTCTCCATCAGTGTCTCCTCCTCCTCTCCATCAATCTTGCCTCTTCCTCCTCTCTGTCATCTTCTCCTCTACCTCAGCCCTACCCATCCCACATTTTTGGGGCTCTCCTCTGACTCTGCCATCTCCCACTGGCTGTCCCAGGACACAAATCCTGTCCAAGCTGAAGTTGCTCCTGAATTGCTGCAAATCTTGGGAAAACCTCTCCCAACTCTCCTTCCCAAATTCAGTTTCTTCCCCTACCCTACATCAAGTCATGTTGAAAATCACACAGTGAGACATTTATGGGATTTGCAAAGATTAATTCTTCTATTACTCACTGATTAATTAAAATCTGATTGAGACTTTGACCAGTAGTTTGCACTTGAATCTAAAACTGAGAACAATTTGGTAGTTTTAATGTGTTAATTTGCATGGGCTGGGCAAAGAAAACGATTTTGGGTCAAAAACTGCTGCTTGTTATTCCAGCCATGCTTTGCCTTCTCAGGCAATAATTGTTTGCCATCTCACCAGTGAAGGGAAGGTAAGGGATGGAGATGTTTGCTCTGAAACAGCCCCAATCTGTTCATCTCTTCTGTTGCTTTTCCTCCAGTTGCCTTATTTTGAATATGTCCAAGGATATATTCTCTAATCCAGATTGCAGTTATATGGTATGTTTTCTGTGCTGTCTCTTAATGGTGATTTCTTTATTGAGAGATCCCAAATGCTGAAGATTAAATTCTTTCTCTCCTACTTTTTGGGAAACTCTTTCTGACTGCACTGGCTGCCAGAGCAGCACAAAGGACACCAAAAATCTCTGGCAGAACAGGGTAATTTTTCAAAGCTTAGTGAAAATGTGACAGATGAAACAGCAGCAATAATAATACAGAATGTTCTGTCAATGGAAATTTATATTTAAAACTCGCACAGAGGAACATTTTTTCTATATCAATACAGAAATAAAACATGTCAATCAATGCCAAGTGATATACCATGTTATTTTATTATTTCCAGTTGCAAGGAGCTTGTTCTTCAGGAGCCGCATTGATAACACTGCAAATAAAGGAACTTATATCACTTCTGGCATTTCATGAAACAATAGTGTTATCAGCTGGAGGGAAGATGAGTGTACCATCCTTGCACTGAATTTTAATTTGCTTTAAAGTGCAGTGTTTTCTGTGATTTAAAGTTAGTGGATGTTATTTTGTACCGAGATAAGTTTCAGTGGGGATTTGTTTAAAATGACAGTTAAAGACACAGAAAAGCTTCACCCTAAGGAATTTATAACAGTCATAATGCTTCATGTTCTGGAAGGTCCCACATGTGAGCTGATGGATGCTGTAGTTTGAGGTTGGAAGGCACCTCTGAAGATCATTTCATCCAACCTTCCTGCTTGAGGCAGGGTCGGCTCAGGTTGGCTTGGATTATTCCCCACCTGGAACACCGAGCACAGCTCTGGTGCCCCAACATAAGAAGGACATGGAACTTGGGAGCAATTCCAGAGGAGGCCACAAAGTTGATAAGGGGAACTGAAGCCAGGCTGGAAAAATGGGGCTGTTTAGTCTGGAGAAGAGAAGGTTGTGTAGAAACCTCACAGCAGCTTCCAGTGTCTGAAGGGGCTACAGGGAAGCCAGAGAGGGACTCTTCATGAGGAACTGGAGTGATAGGACAAGGGGGAATGGCTTCAAACTGAAAGAGAGTAAGTTTAGATTGGATATTGGGAAGGAATTGTTGGCTGGGAGGGTGGGGAGGCCCTGGCACAGGTTGCCCAGAGAAGCTGTGGCTGCCCCATCCCTGGAAGTGTCCAAGGCCAGGTTGGATGGGGCTTAGAACAACCTGGGCTGGTGGAAGGTGTCCCTGCCCAGGGCAGGGGGATGGAGCTGGATGGGCTTTAAGGTCCCTTCCAACCCAAACCATTCCGTGATTCTGTGATTCTCTTCTAAAAAGCAGTTGGGTTTTGGTTATCTCCATATCTCCTGTGTCAGATGCTCCAGTCCTTCAGACATCCCTGAGGTCCAGTGTCCTCTTGTACTGGGGAGCCCAGGCCTGGGTGCAGCTTCCAAGTGTGGTCCCAGCAGATCTGAGCAAGGAGAAGCATCACCCTCTTCCCCTGCCAGCATCACTTCCTAACAGAGCCCAGGGTGCCCTTGGCCTTCTCCAAACCTCCCAAATTATATTGCCTTAAACTTGATGCAGTTCATTGGACTATCAGTGAGTTCAAGAAAATATTGGGAAAAGCTGATTTAATAGCTCAGGTGCTGAGGGAGGCTCATCAGCTGTGATACATCAGAAGGGAGTCCCACTGTGCTGGGTAGCTCAGTGAAAGCATCTGTGTGGCCCAGAGCAGCAGCCAAAAAGAGCCTTGTGTCAGGTGAGATTAAGAATGATAATGAACCCCAGCAATTTTAAAGGGAAAAAAATACTGCAATATTTGCATTGAATACTGACACACGAGTAGCTTTTAATTTGGCCGCTAGAATGAACAGAAATAATGCTGCAGAATTAAAAGCAGATTTAGAAAAATCAGGAGGGTGTTTAGACATCTGAGGAGATTGCAGTGTGAGGAGATGGAGAAGGTTTGTGGGGAGAGAAGGCTCGTGACGGGTGATGTAACAAATGTGTGAAAGCAGAACACGCAGGGAGCCAGAATTCCCAGAGCACTCGGCTTGCCTGCAGCTGCTGGAAGGCACTGGGGGAAAAGGAAGGGTGTTGGTGGGTGCCAAGAACGTGAAAGAATGGAAAATAACAATAGCTGGGATCCAGCAGTGGCTCTGCAGATGGGATGGGGAGGGCAGAGCATTGGTTTGCCTCTCCCGAGGGGTTGGAGGGGTGATGGTGTGTTGGCAGCCATCCTGTTCTGGGGGATTTTAGAATCACAGGATCATTAAGTCTGGAAAAGACCTCCAAGGAGATCAAGTCCAGCCTTTGACTGAATCCCACCATGCTGCTAGACCCTGTCACAGAGTGCCACATCTGCTTGTTGTTTGAACAATTCCAAGGGTGGTGACCTCACCACTGCCCTGGGCAGCCCCTTCCGATGCCTGACCACTCCTTCAGTGATGAAATTTTCCCTAATCATAGAATCACAGAATCAGCTGAGTTGGAAGGGACCTCTGAGATCATCAAGTCCAACCCTTGATCCAACACCACTGTGGTTGCTAGACCATGGCACTGATGCCACATCCAGTCTCATCTTAAACCCCTCCAGGGATGGAGAATCATCCACTTCCCTGGGCAGCCCATTCCAATGGCTGATCACCCTCTCTGGAAAGAAATTCTTTCTAATATCCAACCTAAACCTCCCCTGGCACAGCTGAAGACCCCGAGCCCTCTTGTCTTGCTGAGAGTTGCCTGGGAAAAGAGACCAACCCCCCCTGGCTCCCCCCTCCTGTCAGGGAGTTGCAGAGAGTGAGGAGGTCTCCCCTGAGCCTCCTCTTCTCCAGGCTGAACAGCCCCAGCTCCCTCAGCCTCTCCTCATAGGACTTGTGCTCAAGTCCCTTCCCCAGCCTCGTTGCTCTCCTCTGAACCTGCTCCAGGACCTCAATGTCCTTCCTGAACTGAGGGGCCCAGAACTGGACACAGCACTCGAGGTATGACCTCACCAGTGCTGAGTCCAGGGGAAGAATCACTTCCCTGGACCTGTTGGCCACACTGTTCCTGAGCCAGGCCAGGATCCATTGGCTTCTTGGCCACCTGGGCACACTCTGGCTCCTGTTCAGCTTCCTGACCCTCCCCTGGCTCAGCTTGAGGCCATTTCCCCTTATCCTGTCCCTTGTTCCCTGGGAGAAGAGGCCGACCCCAATGGATACCGGAGGGATTATAAATTCTCCTGGAAACCCTTACCCTGGTTTGTTTTCTGCCGCGTTGGGATCTCTGCGTTAACACCCAACCCCTCGGGCAGAGCTGTGACATTGGCACTGCGTCCCTGCCCTGCTGATGTGCTGATCCATGTTTGGGATATTCTGTAATTGAGTTGGCATCAATTCCCCTCTCCCTGGGCCGAGGGGCTGCCCCGTCCCCCCACTGCCAGGGATGCTCCATGTTGCCTCCGGCACTGGGCTGGTCACACTCTGAGTGAGGATTTTTACAGCTCCCGTTGGATAAAGTGGGATTCTTCCTGGTAGCTACACATAGTAGCTGCCTTCTAATTTAATAAACAGTAAATCTTTCCCATGTTCTACTTGCAAAAGTCCATCTCAGACTTTTTTTTAAGCTTCAAATATGGAATAGCGAGGAGAAAATAAAATTAGGTGTCAAGCCTGTTGTGGAGTTTGCACGTGCTCTCTGTGGTCGCCTTGGGTTCAAATGCCACAAAAAAAGGGAATACAAATCCATACAATTATTAGGGAAGTGTTCACGCAGAATAGAAGAAATCTTATTCTCACAGAATAAAAGAAATCTCATTTAGTCAAATTCCAAACAGGAAATGAACCTCTGCTGTTCCTTCCTTGGGACCAGGATAATTTAAAAATGAGTGAAGTGTTGTCCACCAAGCCAACAACAGCAGCACTGCAGGAGAACTGGCCAAGGGGGACAAGGGGCCACCTCCCTCTGCAGAACCCAAAAGATAAATTTAAAGGAGGATCACATGCTCAGACCCCCGTTTTTTAATGCTTACTTCTGTATCTGGTAGCCTGTGGTTGAAACAAGGGCTTTGTCTTATATCAGAATTAATTCAGGAATGATTTTGTTTTCTTCATAAATCAATCTCCCTGCACGGCATCAGGTGGAGAAACTCCTTCAGGTTCCTTGCACACAGTATCTAGAGGGTCTTTCCAAAACATCTTTTAAAACAGCATCTTCTTTGTTTTGTTCTGCCTCTTACAATTTATAATCTCCCTCCAGTATCCATCAGGATTGGCCTCTTCTCCCAAGGAACAAGGGACAGGGGAAGGGGAAACAGCCTCCAGCTGAGCCAGGGGAGGTTCAGGTTGGATACAAGGGGAAATTTCATCACTGAAAGGGCAACATTTTCCTTATTATGAGCTTTTTATTTTAAACTTTATCTGGTGGCGAAAGCGAGTCTGGGCAGGGAAGGGCAGTCTTGTATCTAGAAAAGGGTCTCGAGCTTCCTCTCTGCAACAACCACTGTTGTTTTCCTTGAATGGAGGAAAAATCTTAAGAGCACAAGAAAACCTGCAGCCCCATGGAGGGTTCTGAGCAGATGG